GTGTTTTTGCGGTTAGGCGGCTGAGTGACGATTGGGTAGTCCCCCACATCTTAAACGTGGTTTGTCCCCTTTCCCCCCTTGGCCCCCCCCCGTGGCCCCCCCCCACCTGGCCCCCCCCCCGGGGGACATCCACCACCCAGCCCTACCTGCTCGTTGCCGTCACACCCCTCTCCCGCAACAGCGCGAAGAAGCTCTCCTGCACAGCCGCCTCCGCCGCCTCACGGGCCTTACGGGCAGCCGCCTGAGCCGCGCCGAACCGCTCTTCAAACAGCTGCTGACGAACCTGCATACCGAACATACATACCGACTTTATTATTATTTTTGTTAATATTGGATGTTTGCTTATACATATGTATAATATATATGTATATATATACATATATATAGGAGGGGTGAGGTTTGTACGGAGATGTGAGCTTGCTGCGGCAAGCTACTGGCCCGCCTGGCACCAACCCCGGGATGGGTGCGAGCGTGCACCCACACATGCACATAACACAAACAAACAAACAAACAAACAAACAAACAAACAAACAAACATACATACATACATACATACACAGCCTCACAGTGTTGGTGGGTCATCCTTATTGCTGCTCAGTTCCTTTTACACTCGCGACTTAAAACTCACACATACAAACATACATACATACAAACATACATGCACAACACACTCCCAGGTTCCTCCCCAAATGAACTTCCCAGCAAATCACACACACATAAGTATACTTAACATGTATATAAATAAACATATATACATATATATGCAGCCCCCAGCGCTATCGGGACTTATTTTCATTTAGAGAGATATGTGTTGCTCGGCGGGAACTGGCTCCAGTACGCGAAAGGTGAGGTTCATAACATTATATTAATACATTATAATATTAATTTATTATTAATAAATTTATTATTATTTATTATTATATATATAGAGAGAATCTTATTTATATGTGATGTTTGATGATGTTATACACATATACATATATATAGGCCCTTCCCATGCCGTCCCCCCCCGCTTTGCCATCTTATCATCCCCCGACGGCGGCCGTTACAACGTACGACAGCATCTTGGATAGGTTAGATTGCCGGGGCCAAAAACCCCACTCACCCCCTCCGACACGGCCGCCCAGCGGTCGTCATTCGCCCAGTACCGCCCCACGTAATCCAGCGTCAGACTGGTGGCCAGAGCCGCCTCTGAGAGGTCCTCCTCCTCCTCCTCCTCCTCCTCTTCCTCCTCCTCCTCCTCCTCCACATACACATCATCATCCATCCCCTCCTCCTTCTTCTCCTTCTTCTCCTCCTTCTCCACCGCTTCCACATCTTCCATGTCCTTGTCTGCACCAGATTTCCCAGCTCCGGCCGCATCCGCCGCCGCCGCGGCCGCCTTGGCGTCGCCGTCATCGCCGTCCAGGCCGCTGTTCTCGCGATATCGCCGAGAGGACTGGCGGCTGCTGCCGCCGCCGCCGCGGCGGCGGCGGCGGCGGTGGCGGTGGCGGTGGCGGCCGCTGTCCGTACCGCCCTCCTCGCCGTCGTCCTCGCCCTCCTCCCGTGCTGCAGCTCTCGCCTCCCGCTCCTCCGCCCTGGCCTGGAGAAATGTAAACCGGGAAACGCGCGTGTTGCGTTGCGTGTGCGTGTGTTGTGTATTTGTGAGCAAAATAACGGCATAGACACCGCCCCCTCCGCCAACAGCAATTAGTTTGGAGTCAATCTGGAGTCATTTTTAAACCCCGGTGTAGCCGTCCGGAAGCGCTCCGGAAGCTGTCACAGATAAGAAAGTTCCTAAGTTGAAGAAACCCTTCTCCCCCCCCCCTCTTCCTCTGCCTCCCCACCAGCCTTCGTCACCAGCCGGCAACACATCCGGCAACTGAAAACCGACCTGTTGTCGTACATGTCGCTCCAGAACCAATACGTCATCCAGAAGCTGCCTGAAACCCGCCAGTGACGCCGCAATTCGTTGCTCCTTGAGCTGCTTCTGCTCAGCTGCATCGTACGGCATATGTGAAGTACGACACGAGAGACGGGAAACACGACTCTTCAGCGATGGAGAGAGGGGGAGAAAGCAAGGTGATGAACGCGATATGTGCAAGATTTTACGAATGTAATGATGTAAACTAAACAATTAAAAAATGATGCACAAACACGATATGCAAAGGAACAGTAAAATAAATGCGCGCGAATGTATATACTACAAAGTACGGCAAAGAAACGCAGCGCACCTGCCGTACTCCTGCAAAACTCATCAAACGCTAACCGCTTCTCCTTTAATGTTAGTGCCGAGAGCCCCTTCCACCGTTTATCCGCCTCCAGCTTAGGCAGCTCCCTCTCCCACCTGGAGAAGGGGGTCACCTGCGCAGTACGACCACAGCGTACGGCACTGCAGGGTTCTTCACCCCGATTCGGGCCCGAACTTTTTTGAGATTTTTCCGTTTTGACCGAAAGGAAAATTAGTGCGCCCCGGAGCATTCCGAACGGATTTGGGGCCTTTTGGACCATTTTTTCGGGGGTCCCACCCAAGCCTTTTGAAGGCATTTTCGGAGAAAACCGAACGATATGTCAGCGTAAATTTGCATGTTTTCGGGCGCAGATGGGGCCTGGAAACCGGGCTTGCCGTATAAGGCCCGCTTGGTCACCAGTCAAACAACAAGTACGAATGCCGGCTGTTTCGCGGCTGTGTCGCAGACATTTTCATACATCTAAGCATATGTAAACATAGTTAAACATGCCCGAGTCAACTGATGATGAGCGCCCAGCCAAGGTGCCCCGCATCTCCCTCGGGATTCGCGGCTTCAACAAGCTCGAACCGCCTGTTTGCCTTCGATGTCAGCGAACTTGACGTTTTGCAGAAAGAGTTTTCAGCTATGAAGTCTAAGATGGCCTTGCTTTGGGTAAAATCCTTGCTGAAATATTTCTCCCAAGAGCTATGTTCCAAAACAAAGTCAAACACCTGTTAATTCAGCCGTCCTAGCATATAACGATAGAATCCAGCTAGGCTTTACCCCGAAAGCCGCTTCAGACAGTTTCGGGGTACCCGAAAACACTCTCCGGCTGACGGGAAAATTTTCGGGGAGGGCCCCGAACGGTTATTCAGAGGGTTTCGGACAGGGCCGAAATTTTTGGGTACCCCGGTGAAGAACCCTGGTACGGCAGTACGACACAGTGGCGCTTCCCGAAACCATAGACTACTGAGCACCACAGGCAGTTCAGTTCATCACAGCGTTGGAAGTTTAAGCTTTAATAGCTCTTTCGCCGTACAGCCGTACCAAACCCACTCCCCAACACCCTCTCCCCTCCTTTCTTAGACGTCACCAATTTGCTTTTCTGCTTTCATTCCTGCACATATATACATACATATATACATACAGAACATGAATACATACATACATACATACATACATACATGTGTCAGAGAATCATCCACCCCCCTTCCTCGCCCTCCTCCTCCCCTTCCCCTTCCCCTTCCCCCTCCCCCTCCCCCTCCTCCTCCTCCCCCTCCTCCTCCTCCTCCCCCTCCCCCTCCTCCTCCTCCTCCCCCTCCCCCTCCTCCTCCCCTTCCCCCTCCTCCTCCTCCTCCCCTTCCCCCCCGGCCTCCTCTCACCCCCTTGTCCAAGAGGAGCTCCTTAAAACGGGCCGCCAGCTCGTCCTTGCTGACGGGGGGCCGGGAGGGGAACAGCGGGTGACCGGCGGGGGAGAAAACACACACACCAGCCGCAGCCGCAGCCAGGGGGGGAATGGGTCCGCCTAGGAAGGCCGCCATGGGGGGCCCCGGGGGGAAGCCGCCAACGCCCGCCATCACGCCCATACCCATGGCCATTA